GTACGGACACTACAAAAAGTAGGAGACACCAAGGGGCTCATGATTATAAATACCATAGCATTAATAATAATGGTTACATATGCACAGCCCCTTTATTATGTTTAAGTCATAACACGGTAAATTCATCTTATTATCACGTAGGTGATTTCAAAGTAACATTTGGCCTTATCAAATATGTTTTTCATTGCATTAACAAAAATATGTTAAATGTGTATCAAAGCCCGTTTCTGCAAAATGGTTAAAATATTTTTTCTCAGGACATGTCTTTGAAAGAACCTACTAGAAGAGAAGAAACATGCTGTGGGAATTATATACCAATATCATATTCACCATAAATCATTGACATAAAGAGCTAGTGCATCATCTTTATGACCTTCATTGCAAATGACCCACCGTAACAGCTAAAAATAGGTACTTTTTGAACACATAATTGGCTATATTTTTGTAAATTGTAATCCGATTATTATAATCTTTTTTTTATTTTGCTCCTATGAACAGCGTCTTTGATATTAGTCTATCAGCAATCTCCAATCATAAATTGTTAATTAATCAGACACTTGTAACATTAACCACATTTAATTGTTCACCCTGATTGTGAAACAGCCGATTGTACAATTTTGAGCTATGGGTCCATATGACCCTATATAAAAATAAAAATGTTCTCTAATATTTATTCTGTAACACTTCCCAAAACATAAAAAAACTTTCCTGGATAACATTTTCCAAACGTTATTCCTAAGTTATGGTAAAATTAACATATGGGCCTCCAGTGTTACATGTATAAGAGTATACTTTTCTTAGATGGGGAATAGCAAAGATTTTGCCTACTCACTCCATCTTTCGGGACACACAACATAAGGCCTAAATGTCCATAATTTGTTGCCGATTTATTTAGTGAATGCCATTAAAATAATACAGCACAGAAGCATATCTTATCTTATCATGCATCGTTTATTTGTCAGATATAAAATAATATATCTGTTATAAATCGTCATATTGAGAACAAGGAAAAGGATATCATTTTCCTCAGGGATTGAAATTTTAAAATACGACTGTTTATGTGACACAACGTCTGGACTTTTTGGTGAAATAATGGCTAAATACTTTGTTTTAGTGCGTCAGGTTCAATGTTGTGTTGACGGTGATGGATACTTCGGCTGGGTATGTGACACAACAACTGGATGTTTCTGTAAGCAAGGTCAAGCGTGTCAGAAGACGCTGTCCCCAAACTGCCCTGGTCACTGTGTGGACAACCCCTGGGGAATTGGGTGTGTGGACGGTAGGTGGAGCCAAGTAGAAGGACGTTTTTCAATGTTTGACTTGAAATTATTTACATTAAACCACTTGTTAGACTGAAGTTAAAGTTAGTTAGGCCTAACATACCAGTACATGTACCAATCAAGCATACTGTAGTAAACCTTTTCATGTGGGCCTGCTTTTACTTTTTTCTCTTATCAGAATGATTAGATCAACCAATGGGATATTGTTTATGTCAGAGATGTTTTGGTTTTATAATCATTAAAAATGCTTAGTTGTGAAAGTTGGATGGGATTTCTTCAGAAAAACACAATCTAGCCTTTGGAAAGCCTACAGCACAATTAAGTATTGAGGGTGGTCACCCACCATCATTAGCGGCAGACGGAAACAACGCCACTGATGTCTCTATGTGTGCAGTAACAAACCAAGACACTAACCCGTGGTGGCAGGTGGATCTGGAAGGTCTCTACGTCATCCGCTCTGTGGCGGTTATCAGGCCAAGCGGCTGTATGTATAAAATATTTCTGTTCAGCTAACCATCATGAAATAACCATTTGAAATGTAAACAAAGTGAACAGTGTCAGCTCTTATCGCGAAAAATGCTCATTGCTATATACATTGTATACCTAAGCATGTGGTTGACAGAAATCTCTAGATGTGATGGGACAGGACTACTAAGATATGCTCTGAATATACGGTTGATTAGTATAAATAGTACAAAAGTATAATACCCGCCTTAAATAGTCTGTATAAACTGTACTATATCAATACGACATCCAGGGTATTATGAACGGATGTATTGTGTGGCCTTAGTGTGTTCCAACCTCTCACCTGGTGTGAAAAAGTGTTTGGGAATATATATGATGCAATCAAGTTATTTTTCAATACGTTGTCCACTATATTGCGTATTAAGATCTGTGTGGGGGGTTTATATCCCTTTTTGTAGGCGTGGGGGCTGGAACCCCACTTATGGGCCGAACCCGCCTATTTTCTACTTAATATTACAACATTGTTACCCTATATCACTATTATATCATGGTTAATTGCAGGTCTTGTCTTAAACACGGGATAACTTATTTAAGGGTGTAACTTATTTCTTGTTTTAAAGGCCAAACAATCAGCATGTACATTGGGAATGATACAACTCAACAAGGGAACATACAATTGACGACTTCTTGTTCTTTCGAGCAAACGGTGGATCCTCCAGTTCTCGGTCGCTATGTCAAGTTCTCCAAATTGGGATCAGCGTCTTTGCAGCTGTGCGAAGTTATTGTCCGAGGGTATACATATCCATGTAAGATATTAGTCATTACAGTGCCACATAACCATTACATGTAAGCGCGATCATCAAAAAGATTCTCTGTAATATTTCAAGAAATATTGACCAAGTTGTGTTTCTTAAATTGTCTGCATCGGTTTTGTAGCAATAACCGTGAATGGTCTTGAAGTAATACATGTATCTGTGGACAAATGATTTACATGTAAATGTACCGTGGTATAAAATCAAGCAGCAATGAAATTATCACGTCAAAAAGACAATTATCACGTCAAAAAGTTTTAACTGATGATATTTCAGATAATATTGCTTTTGGAAAGACTGCTAGTCAGTCTAGTTTTATTCGTCACATGAATGTAAATTGGACAGCCAAATACGCCATAGATGGCAATACAAACACAGAATTCAGTGCTGGCAGTTGCTCACATACACAGAATGAAAACAACCCATGGTGGAAAGTTGATCTTGGCGACACGTATTCCGTCTACTCCGTGACATTGGTGAACAGGGCAGGCCTAAGTAATTGTTTTCTTTAATATCGGTATACATGACTATTAATGTCTACCAAACACATCTTGTGTTAAGGGTGATACGGAAAATACGCCACTTTCTTTTCAAATATGATTTTACCTTAGTACAGGTACAACCTGAATGGTAATCATATAAAATACTAATTGTTTATTATTACATCTGTCAGGTAGTAGGAACTTGAAGAATATTGAAATCAACGCAGTCTTACAGGCCTAAGTAATTGTTTTGTTAACTGTCGGTATACGTTATTATTAACCTAATTAATATCTAACAAACACTTCTTGTATTAAAGATTCCTTGTGTTAAACACTTCTTGCTTAAAGAATTCTGTAGAAAATCGGCTACTTTCTTTTGAAATATGATTTCACTTGGCTACTTATGTGAAGTAATAATATGAAGTATGCATTGTTTTATTACATCTGTCAGCCGGTAGGAATCTGAAGAATATTGAAATTAACGCAGTCTTACCAAACAACACATTCAACCATTGTGCCAGTCGAGTTGAACACTTACCGCTAGGCGGCACCGTTGAATTGCCCTGTAATAGCGCGCCTGTAGTGGGACAGTTTGTGAGGATCAGTCTGACTCACAACCCCCCATCTCCAATAACTCTCTGTGAGGTGATGGTGAAAGGATACAAATATCAAGGTATATTATCGACTGAATCGATAATATTATTAACCGACGGACCTGCATGAGCATACAGTAACTATATCGAGCACCAAATGTTTTGTCGAGAAAACACATACTGCGTTTCTTTATTTCCGCACTTTTGTTGTGCTAAACAAAGATTGATTTTCCAGTGAGCAAGCATGCAATCCTAAATAATCACTTTTAAGTCGTTTTATATGTGTTTAAAAGCTTAACACTGTTTTTAAAGTGTAAATATTACTTTTTAGTCGCTTCTTTGTTTCAATTGGCTTATACTACCTGGACAGCCTAAAAGTGTTTTAAAGAATACGGATACTCACTTTTTCAGATTGTGACAATTGGAAGTTTGTACCAGAATGCGGATATGGTTGTAACTGTAGGAACACAGCAGAACTCTGTGACAGGCGTACAGGTGCTTGTACATCTGGTTGTGCAGATGGTTGGAGGAATCAGAATAACGTGTGTCAAAGAGGTACAGTCATCAGTCAAATAACATTATTTTAACTGTTGTTGTCAGTTTTCATGTTACAGCATTAATATTTGTTCACTAATTTCTCTGCAGCTTCCGTCTCTTATAACAACTGAAGTAAATGTGTTCAATCTGAGGTACAACAAGTGGTAAATTCTTTGGGATTTTCTCAAGGTTTATTTAATTAAAAATTCACTGCGGCTGCTTTTACAATAAAAAAGCGTCTGATTAAAAATTGACCATAATACATTCTCGTGTTTTTTTTCAATATATAAATAGAGTGCCCGTCAGGAATGTTTGGATCAACGTGCAACTTTTCATGCCACTGCGCCGACAATTTCATCTGTAGTTTACCCACTGGTTATAGATGCCCTTCAGGTTGTCAAAACTACTGGAAAGGCTATGGATGTCATCAAGGTAAAAAGTACTTTGAAATGCATATCAATAAAACTGCCTGTGATTGCATCCCCCGCCAGAGCTACATGTATATAAGAAGCGATAAAGGGCATATCTTGATACTTCAAAATAATATTCAATTTTGTGATAACGGGGAAACTCAATAGAAAATAAGCTCCTAACACCTGAAATTAAGCCCCATCAGGCTGCCGATCCTTCATGATACACATATAATGGATCCTGACAGGGGTCATTTTTAGAGGTCGGCAACGTGTGGCTGTTTTTCTTTGCAGTTTTTCTAGATATCTGGGATATACCGAGAAAAACTGGAATATACCTAGAACGGTTTACATTTCATCAAACCGGTATCTTATTAAAAGTTTATTAAAATTTTATGTCAATCCGAGTGTCGAAAAACGTGTGCAGTACTACTGTTTGGATATGACCACCTTATCTTGCACCGTATAAATTTTGATTTTTTAAACAGAAGATTCAAAGATATTTTGAATTTTGAACAGAAAGACCGCGCCTTACACGTGCACCCGTGGTGTCCTCGAGAACAGCTCATTCTGTCACCCTAGCCTGGGACAGCTGGTCTCCGGACAGGTACCCGGGAGTAGGTAGTGTGAGCAGTTATAACGTTAGTGCATGGAAAGACAGTTACATCGCAAGCAGCAACAAGACCACGTCTGTGTCCACAACGTCGCTGACCATTGGCCACCTTGCCGAATACACTGATTATAATTTCACTGTGACTATAGTGGATGAGGAAGGAAATAATGGACAGCAAAGCCCGAGTGTTACGAGAAGAACATGTGGAGGTAAAAAAGAAGAAAAATTGTGGGTGGCGCTAATTTTTGTTTGCACTGAAAATAATACAATTATTTTTCCTGTCATTGTGGACAGCGTTATGCTTAGCTAAGTTATGGAATATAACTTAAATGTTTTATAAGTTGATGTAGGCCTTAATAAAATTTAAAAAAATTGGATGATAAATATCCAGGTAAGTACGCCCTATTTTTGTATAGTTCCAGAATTAGTTCTGCCGCCCGCTGTTGACTCTGCTGTAACAGGCCAGAAGACCACTGCTCAGATAAAGATAACAACACAGGTGTGGGGAGGATACATGTATATTTATATGTTTGTAAAATCACCATTATGTGCAAGCACCCGAAGAAAATGATTTCACTTTCAAATTCCAAGATATTGCGAAGAGAAGAAGAGAGGAGGAGAGGCATAAGGGCATTTATTTAATGTCATACCCCAGTATATACATGTAGGACGCAGGGAAGGAAGAATTACCTAGTTTTGTTAAGTACCAATTGTAATGCCGTTTTGGGGAGGGAGAAGGATGGAATCGGGGAATCTCTGTAGTTCGGAAGTTATAATATCAATGTAGGGGTAAAGAATAAGACCTGTATTTAAAAAAAAAAAAAAACAAAATTAATTTTTCTAACATTATTTAGCATCTGATGATAACAGGTATCCCTATCATCACAAATGTGACAAAAGCAAAACCAATTACACTGGATTTTAAAACAGAAATACTTAAAGCTTAAATACTTCTTCCAATAACAAAGATAAACGTGTCTGATGTATTGTATTGCAGGGAATGACTGAAGCAGTTCACAGGTGTGATGCATTTTCGAAATTGAAGCTGAGTTACGAAGGGGAGTATGGGGATAGTAACACCATAGAAATCACAGATGTACCCGTATCAAAAGAGCTTATCTTAGGGAGTCTTATTCCCTACAGTAATTATACAATCAACATATCAGCGGTGAACAATCTGAATCTGGAAGGGCCAATGCTTAAGGTTTATAAGTTTACACCGGAAGGGAGTAAGTATTGCATTCTCTCTTTGTACATGTATTAACCATCTTGGTCATGGAATTGAAAAAAACATATCGTCATAATATAAACACAAAGAATTGTCGGAATTTTGTTGTTGATTTGTAGAAGGAGAAAGTTCCCTGGAATTTTGTGAAATAATTATGTTAACGTACATTATATGTTCGTTCTAAATAACGTGATTAGATAATAGCGACAATATCGGCAGCGTTGAAAACACAAAAAGTGTCTTCTCTAGTCCCACCCAAAATGGCACCACCTGTTGCTGTTAGTCGAAGTCACAATACCATAGAGTTGCGATGGGAAGCACCACGACCTCCTGGAGGAATCGTAACAGAGTATAAAATATCTTACGGCATGGGAGAGAATAACTGGGGGAATTCACTGAAACTGAACGCCAGCACTTATTGGAAACCTGTAGGCAGTCTTACGTATAACAGGACATACTGGTTTCGGGTAAGTGAATAGTATGCGCAGGGATGATTCTTCTTCGTCCATCTTAATGCGTTTCTTTGAATATATCAAAATGAAGAAATCTCTTCCTTGAAAAAATCTTAATCTGAATCTCTTCTTGAATTCAATGTACCACCGTAGGCCTACAGCAGAATAATGGTTAATTCGTTTATTTTAAAACAATCTGAAAATCGACTGACAATCATCCTCCACCTGTCCTCACTTAATGATAATATTAACGTCTTACTTTACCTTCTTTGTTTAAGATCCGTGCAGGAACCAATATCGGTAATGGAGAGTATAGTGACAGCGTGCAGGCTAGAACTGTAGAAGAAAGTAAGTATAGACCTAATTAAAATAGATAATGCATTATCGACTTTTTATTAGATCACTTACAGCCATAAGAACTAGGAATTAATTTAAGAACCGTATGTAAAATTCAGTAAACTTCCCTTTCTAAAAAGTTAAACGGTTATGTGGTACATTTTTAATTTAGATGTTTAATTCTTAATATTTTTAACATAATTTAAAGAGCCAGGGCCTCCAACTAATTTCACCAACACTAGCAGATCAGATACATCTTTGGAGTTTTCGTGGAACGAGCCATTTATCAGGAATGGGGAAATAACGGGCTACAAGGTAATCGAAACGTAAAAGGTGGCTTAAAATGCAATTGTATATACAAATATACTGTAGTTGTCTAGGGGAATAATCTTTGTAACCATGTCTTTATTTATTGTCATTTTGTAATCAGTCATTGCCGGCTTTTGGTATGAAAAATGTGACCCAAGGTTATCTTGAAATTTATTGTAGATTGAATGTTCTGTTGATGGAAAGAATATATTAGCAGAACTAGCCATGTCAGCAAGAAAAGTCGTTGTGAGTAAGTTGAAGCCAGGTACGCGGTATTTATGTGGGTTAATGGCCAAAACATCGGCAGGTTATGGGGATTCATCTCAAGTTATCACATGGACAAAGCCATCAGGTAAGTACGTTACTGTACCGTTACAACACATTTGAACTTAAAACATCTAAGCAATATATTCCATTAAAGTACATATAATACTGTAAAGAAGCCCAATTTTTTGTTTGACAATTTGTGACATCAGTTGTTACCATGCATATGGAATTGGCATTGTTTTATCCTTACAGTCCCAAATGACATAGAGGTGACTCCAGTCTCACAAAGCTTGTCGCAAAGAACAGCATCGAGCATTACCATAATGTTACCAAGCAAGCACTATGGAGACTTGTACAAGTATAGGTAGGAACATATAACCCTTGTTGTAAACGCGTTTGTCAAGTATACTTATTTTAATTTAGAGGAGGCATCTGTATCTCAAATACACATGGTTATGGTACACAACTGATCGCTGCTGTATCCTTCGAAGATACCTGTCAAAAACCATTAAGCAAACGCACGTGTGTGAGTTTTTACACATTATGAAATCAATATATTGTTTTTAACGTTAGGATTGTAGTGGAGAAAGAGAGTAAAGCGAAACGTCGCCGACGGGCTTTAGACCTTAACGACTCCAAGATCCAGAGACTTGTCCCGTGTCAGTCTGTGACAGACACAGATCAGTTGCTGTGTGTGGCGGCTGAACTGAGTGCTGATGACCTTGGGAAGCCGTTTACTGTTGGAGATAATAAAACATATGGAGGATATTATAACCGGCCGCTGGAGGAAGGGAAATCATACAACATATATTTCGGCCCTGTACAAACAGTAGATGGGGTAGGTACTAAGTTAGTGTATTTTTTGAGTAAGGTAAAATATTATATACTACATGTACTGTTTTGTCGACAATGGTTGTAGGGGTGTGGACGTTTTATTCGTAGGGCAAAGCATCTCGGCGACTGAGCACTTAATTTGCAAAACGACACAACAATATCTTAAAAATGCTGTGTATGGTTATTGTCTGTGTTCTTTGTAGATTACGTCCCAAGCCTATGTTTCCTTAGTAAGGGGTGTTATACCACAGATGGATGTCAAAAGTAAGTGGTACATTTATCCTTGACATGTGCATCAGCAAGATTTTGAACACAACGGCCCTTAGAAGAAAAAAGACAAATAAATCCTCATCTTTACTTATAATTGAATTGAAGTACATACATTCAGGTATTACAAACGCACATATATTTTGGTATCATGCAGTCATGTACACGGTGCAGTTCTAGGTCTAGATGTCGGTGTCCTCGTCGGTGGAGTTGTTCCAGCCATATTGGCGGTGGCAGGTGTGGCCATAGCAGTCTGGATATACATGAGGTAAACATATTTACAGGGGCTGTGCCACACGCTTGGACAATGGATTATTTTTTCTGTTTATTTCAAAGAAATGCATTGTTCTGCAAACACTGAGATATTAACGCGGCTAATATTTGATAACATTGCAAAAAGATTAGCACGAAAATATAAACCACCACTATATTCAATTTGAAACCATTCATCCTTATTATGTATAGTAATGACGGTACTGGTAAGCCGCTGCATAACATTCTCACGTATGAGTTCTTGTTACTAGCTGTTTGATGCGTAAGAGTAACCGTATATTTATGCCGTATTGTATCTTATATTCTATATGACGCGCATTTTATGCGTAATTTTGTTAGAAGGCGAAGGCGTGGACTGGAAGCTACACATTCAAGTAGTGCATCTGACAGAGAGATGAAATCGTTAAAAGTAGAGACACGCAATGAAGGTAAATGGGTTGATAGTCGCGTGCATTGGGTGAGGAGACACCCCCACCCGCATCCCCACCCCTATTATGTGAAATCAATAATTTTATAAAATGCAGTACATGAACGTTGTCTAAATTTGAAGCTTTGGCTAATCTTAAAGTGTGCATTTTGATTCATAATTGATCCAGCTACATTAAAACTGATCAATGAAAACTGATCACATACCGTAAATGTCCAGCAATTTTCAAACGATTTTCCATTGTATTTTGACTCTTTTGTGTAACCAAAATATCATGCACATGAAACATTTTTCTTTGGTACCTGTAGTCCAAAACAACTGTATTTTCTTTTTATGATCTCTCTCTCTCTCTATGATCTCGAGAGAGAGAGAGAGAGAGATCATAAAAAGAAAATACAGTTGTTTTGGATTATATAGATTACGAAGTTCCAAATTACCATATGCCGGAAAACCCGTATATGGAACTCAGTTGGGAACATTTAGACGATAATATGGAGCAGGTCACAGACATCCCTGTTGAGGATATCTTCACTGTTATGAAGAAGAAAAACAGGGAAGTGTTGAAAGCAGAGTATGAGGTTTGTTGATTTCCATTTGTATTGCACAGCATATTCAGCCTGATGATACATGGAAAGTCTTTCAGTCATGGAGACCATTTATTAATTCACTATCTAATGTGTACTTTATCGAGATAAAAAAAAAAACGAAAATAGAAGCAGACTGTCAGTCATAGGGACCTATTGATTATAAAAAGCTTCTAGAAGAACGTGCAATACAACATTAAATACACACGAACAGAACTTAATAATTTTGCTTTGCATAACACAGCCAGAATACAGTGTGATAGTTTAAGTTAAATATATTTCATGCCATTTTGTAGAAATTACCGACAGTATTCACTGCGACGTGCCATGTAGGACAAAAGCAGGAAAATCAAATGAAAAATAGATTCGACACTATTTTGCCATGTAAGTGGATCGAGACCATTATTTTTTTACAAATATTTGCATAGTTTAGTAACGTTTTAGTGATAGTAATCGCTTATTTAGAACAAAATATTTACATGCATAAAACTGCTGCGTTTTGCTCTTATCACAAGAGCACCATCAGGTTTAAAGATCACAGAAACACGAAAAGCATCAGGCTGAATGTCCACAGTGTCACGAAACGTTACTGAATAGAAATCCTTGGTCGATGTAATAGATTATACAAAAAGGTAATTCAGCTAGTGGAAAAGTGAGGAGTGCTTTAGTCACACGTTTGTGGATATACATTTATGTCATGTTTATTCAAACTGTCAAAGTTTAAGTAGCAGTTTGCATCCAGTCAAATTGATGTATTCGTCACTTGAACAACATATTGGGTAATTCTGTTGGTACAACCACCTATATGGCAACAAAAGGTTATGGAAGTTTCACCTTATTTTCTTATGACAATAGATGACCACTCCCGGGTCCCGTTGACTCCACTACCAGGCGACCCCCATTCCGATTACATCAACGCAAATTATATAGATGTAAGTAACCTTATTGACTTTGGTGTCATTTACTAATTTTTCGTTTGGTTTCGTTTATAATTGTATGCAATGTTTAAAAGAAGGAACTTGTTTTGTTATGTAGCAAGTTAATGAGAAAACAACTAAATGTGTAACTTGAAACACTACGATATATGCATGTAGAATGTGATAATGTCTAAATGTGCTTCCCTTTTAATCTCATTTTGATTGAAGGGCTATGGACAGACTGGAGCATTCATTGCATGTCAAGGTGATTATTATTTTATTTTACTAATTTTAATTAAAATATATATAATTTTATTCTGAATTCACATATTTATTTTTTTCATAAAATACTGCAAATTGTGTATTTTAATTCACTTTTAATTATATATTGATGGTATGTCGATCAACAATTATCCTACACAATATTTTTATTGAAACTTATTCAGGTCCAAAACGAAACACCGTGAAGGATTTTTGGCGAATGGTTTGGCAAGAAGATTCACCTGTGATTGTCATGTTGACGAACTTGACGGAGGATGCTAAGGTGTTTGATCAATTCATCTGTTGAGATAGTACATGGGCGTAACTAGGCATACGCACGGATGCACTGTGCGTACAATTTTTTTTGCCAACCATGATATTATTTTATATAAATTTAGTGTATTTTTCACGGAATATAAAAGAAAATCCTCTGCTTATTAAAGTCACCTGTATGTACAAATCCTCTCTATCAATTGTAAAGGCACAGTTGTTCTGCCCCCCCTCAGTAAAGAAATACAAGTGTGTACAATTTTTAAAGGTCTGGTTACGCCCCTGTAGTATACTAGTATGTTTCCATGTTTGCAAATTATATTATATTATATTATATTATATTATATTATATTATATTATTTCTGTGTTCTAGACGAAGTGCGCTAAATACTGGCCTGACGAAGGCAGCAAACGATTTGGTTTATTAATCGTGACTTTAAAGAAAGAAGAAACTCGCACTGATTTTACTGTGCGAACGCTACATATGTCGATGTTACATGTAGGTAATCAAGTTTGGGAAATGAAGGTTATAGTTTTAAAATATTTGATAAAGCGAATTAGTTTTCCCCTCCACTTAACATATTAAGCTCGGATGATGTATGAAAAAAGGATTAAACGATGTGTATAGAATACGCAAAATGTGTTATCTTTCTTCTTACCCACGTTGAATAGAAGAAATGTCAAGTCATTTTGTTACTTAGTAGTATAATGTTATGTGATGTATTGAAGAATCCTTCTCAGTATAACTCAATAATTGCATATTTATAATATTTTTCAAGTCCAATTCTTCCACGAAGACAGTGAAACAATTCCATTTCACCGGTTGGCCTGACCACGGTGTTCCCGTAGATTTCTCTGCTTTGGTGCAGTTCCGAGACAAGTTCAAATGGTATCAAAAAAAGGTGGAATGTCAAGGTCCCATCATTGTTCACAGTAGGTTTGTATATGACTTCAATATCAATGCAAACAAAGTTTCTACAGTTTACCTACACATTTGTGTGATACATTTGCCTAGGTAGTGACTGGTGGCTTCTGGTACACGTGAAATTGCAAAGACATAGCGCGTCAACAGGTCAGTTGTTAATTATAGCCATTTCGTCAACCTATTTTGAATAGATTATAGACATAAATATCAAATTTGAATACCCTCATAATTTGGTCTACTATTTTTTAATTGAATACTGTGGTAAATACACATTAATCTTTCTGCTTTAAAAAAGTAGCCCAGCTACACTATAATTTATTATAAGTTAATACTACTCCAACAGTGCTGGAGTCGGTAGAACTGGGACTTTCATCGCCCTGGACTACCTGTTAGACCAAGCCGAGGCTGAAGGGAAGATCAACATATTCAACCTTGTACAGCTGATGAGGAAGTCACGTCCGATGATGATACAAACGGAGGTCAGTGACACACGTGTAATAGTCATTTTCATTCCTATAAGAATGGTCTAGCACTAAAAACATGCAAAGTAGTTGTTTTATTCATTAGTCAGTAATGTATGACTGTTTAGTACAAGCAATTATTCGTCAGATTTTTAAACATGATACTGTATTAACCCATTACAGTGACGTCATATTTGCTCCGTAACACTAGTCCCGCGGCCATGCTGGAGGGAATGAACGACGGGGAATAGTAGCGGTAATATAGGTGAACCAAATAAAATAAAATAAACTTCATATCGCGATCAAGTACACCAAAGGGAAAAGGATATATACAAGCTGAAGCTTCAGCTGCTCAGCAGGATCGACCAATATGAACTCAAGACAGTCTAAAAACATGAAATCCTACCAAATGCTACTTATCCAACATCGTGTTGTCAGAAGATAGTTCAGTTATCTTGTACTTCATTTTTGCTCCACACTAAGCTCCACACTAAGTGTACATTAATATCTTTAACAAACCGTCTATTCCATTATTCGTGTTATAGAAGTATCTTTTTTGTAACTATGACATAAATGTTATGACTTGCAATAACAAGCTGTAAAAATAGGCTTTTCTATTGATATGCAACATAAATGTTTCGAAAATATCTCGGTCGTTTAAAAAGATTGACCTCCTGGGTTATATACTTAATGAAAACGCTTAGGTCGGAAAGTCTGAAATCTGAATGATTTGAAACGGTCAACTGTCCAGATAGATGTTGGGGAGAATGAAATACTGGGGATTCATAAAACTGGTGTAGAGCCGCATTTTGCAACTGCAACACATTTTGCAACCAAAGAAAATCGTGAAATCGAATTTTTCAACCGGAATGCATTTTGCAACCAGAATTTTTTCTTTGTCAATAAATAGCTAGTGTGAAGTTCTATAGAGGTAGAATTGGAATGGGGACGGGGTTGTCTCGGCTAGGTACGCTTACATTGGTCAAGCTTTCCCTGTGGTGGACAATTTATTATATCAAGAAGTTATAACTTATAACTTCTTGATTATATACTTGATTATATTCTTGATTATATACATGCATAATCTATTTCACATTGTTACTTCCTAAACCATCATAGTTAGGAACTTGATACGTCGGGGATTAATAAACCTATCATTATAGGAATTTGCAAAGGCTCTTCGGAATTCAATTGCGCTCATGACTTGGGGTGTGGTCGACCCTGGGGGTGGTCTATTCTAATTTTTACATCGTATTTTATGCTTGGAACATGAAACGTGGCTACATACTATTTTGAATTTGGAAGGGCACTTCGGATTTTTTTTTTTTTTTTTTTTTTTTTTTTTTTTTTTTTTTTTTTGGGGGGGGGGGGG